GTACTAAAGGAATTGAGGAAAAACCTTACTGCTCTCCATTGCACAGGAGAACCAAAGGAACATTCTCATACCTGTTAGTGCACTATACTCTCTCCCTTAGACACTGATGACATCAGCAAGATGTCACCACTCATCCTTCCATGAGCCCCAAATTTAGCTTTTCAGAATAGCATGTAGATGCCAGGGAAGTCAGTAAAGCTTTAGGATCTAACTCAGATATATCTGGGTAGGGACAAAAACCAGATTATTTTATCTAGACTTTATCTTACCCAGATTTCTTAATTGTTAATAAAGTTAAAGTGACTCCTGTATGATTAGTGTTATGAATACCTTAAAAACACTTCTGGTAGCTGTCAAGATTTAAGGATCATTTCCCTGCTAGGGAATGGCTCAGGAGCTGTTTGCACTCATCTGGATATTGCCCAAGTCCTGCTGAGTTCTGAGGTCAGTTTATTTAAAGAGGCACATCGAAATAGAGATATAATCCTTGGTGAGGTCCAAGAGAACCAAATTAAGTCATTGATTAATTTCATCTTGTCCAGTCACTCCTTCACCCTCTGTATCTACTTAAAAAAAATAAATGTATTCAGCTTGTCACAAATTTTATTTTATATTCCCACCTAGTACCATTTCACATTCTGCTTAAGTACTTGGTCATCTATTACATGACTCATTAGTTTGAGTTCTCTGTAGAATTAAGGAAAGTTGCAGTAAAAATAATAAATGGAACCTAAGTTTCAACTACATCATCCATGCATGTTTTAAAAGCATCTTTCAAAGTCAATTCAAACTCATACAATGCCAGGGATTAGCACACCATCAGCCTTTTTGCTAAACTTTTTTCCTTGCCCCATTACATTGAAGTATTGATGAGTAAAATGGCAAATGTTTCTCTTTATTGGGATTCAACTCAAAGTGCATAAAACTGGATCAGATAAAGACTTATTCCCAGGAGTTTCCAGGGGCTATCTTATATGAAATTCTACTCAGGGAGACTTCCATTTCCCCTTTAAACAAAATGTGTAGTTACCAGTTGTAATAAAGAAATTTAATAAAGTTAAGGTTTTCTGCCTGCATTCCTTAAGAAAAAGTTGGTGAAGTTCTTAACTGCAGAATCTTCCAAAGAGATGTGACAAGGTTTCCTGAAGATTTATTTGAATAATTACATTTAGAGACTATGTAAATGCTGTGCCGTCTACTATGAGTACACTGCTGGGTCAGAAACCTCAGAAAAATAGTTTTAACGGGAAAAAGAAACTCAACTAAAATCCTATATCTTGCAAATAAAAATAAAGAGCATTTTCCAATATTTCCTACCCTCCCAGAGAAACCAACAGAGATCATGGATTTTAGCTGAAAGACAGGCCATGAGGTATAGTGAAAGCATCACAGGCCTTTTTTTTTTTTTTTCCATCACGGTTTTGAATTCCAGTGTTATCTGGAACCTGTGTGAACTTGGGTACATTTCTTAACCTGTCTGAGTCTCTGTTTCCTCATCTACAGGACTGGGGGAAATGCAATTGACCATGTGCATCCTTGTGAAGATTAGATGTACTGTATTGGAAAGCATGGAGCGCAGACTAAGTTATAGCTCTGGTTGTTGTAATACACTAGAGGTGGCAGGGAGATCATCCCACACCCTCAAGTTGACAACTGATACATCTCAGGATCCCATGTTTAAATGACTAGTCCAGTGTAACAAAACTAGTCAATGGCACCATGAAGTCTATTTTAGTGTTCTGGGAAATGAAACCACAGCGAAGTCCAGTGACTTACACAGGGTCATCCAGAAAAACACTAACTACATGGACTGAACAAGAAAGTCTAGGTTCCCTAACCTGACATTCATCACAATTTGCTGCCATTTCTCAAAAAAAGAAAAGAAAAAGAAAAAATCCCATGGCTTCTGACCTTTTACCTTCTGCTGACTGGTTTTTAATCCCATTTGATAATTTATTCCGACTTTAGGACGAATGATCTCAAAAGCAAATTTCATTTCATCCTATTTTTAGAATAGATTCAGAAAATAAATGAGCTGTCTTGCAGATTAACATTTATTTGACTTACCTTGCATAATTAAGGACATGTTGGAGAGCCTGCCTATAATTGCAATATGTTGCTTGTTAAAGTCTTAGAGCAAGCTCTTTTTCCTAACCTAGAAATTGTACTCCCTAGATGTACATTTCCATTTTCTACTGATCTACAGCTTTTCTTTATTAGATTCTAGGTGAAGAGAAAAATCAAACCTCTCCTTAAAGAAATCCGTTAAACATTTGTTGTCCTTCTAGGGGGGAAGGAAGAAGGAGCTGATGTGCATGGTGGTTGTAAAACAAACAAACAAACAAACAAAAAAAGCCAAAACACAAACCAATTGGTCTTTCTTGAGAGATAAAGAACCTGCAGGAGAACCTCAAAGACATCATTAGCAATTAGCAATACTCTCCCCTCAATTTGCACACTGTGTTTTAAAAGACTTCTTGCATGATTTTTCCTTCTTCTACAGAAGTCTGTGAAATTGCCCTGCAGCATCCCATATAATGAGAATCTCACTTCTGATTCACAGCCAAGGGTGAGTGCTCTCTATATTCAGCATGGAGATAGGTGCCCTAGCGAGGCATCTAAGTGTTCTGACCAGCAATCTCAAGAGCAATGGATGTCTGGACACAGGTTCTGCCATCTGAGTGATTTTGAAGATCTCTAACAGGGTCTTCAAATACCGTTAACATGGTTGAAGAAGACGTGGTGGATACTGAGTGTGAGTCACATGTTCCCCTCCTTTAAACATCCTCGTTCACTCACTGGATCAGAGCAGATGTTGTCAACATCAGCTTCAGTATGCTATGTGAAAGCTGTCTTGGCTGGATTAGACATTCAGCTCTCCGAAGCCTCGGCCAGATGTTCTTAGGGCCCCTGCCCGCTTTGGGATGAATAAAGTGTACTGGATTATTATAAAGGCCACTCTTGGATAGAAAGATGAGTAAATCAAGCCAAAGGAAAATGTACTACTAGCCATGACAAGAAGAAAAACTTAGTTTAATATTAACTTTAATAGATATATAAATTTTGGCACTCTCATTACTGATGCTTTAAGAGTTCATGTAAATCCTGTTCATCAGGACTCTATTATTGCTGCTTTCCAAGCAAAAGAAAAAAGAAAAAAAAGCTGCAGAGAACCAATTATTTGCTCTATTTGGAAAAGCTGAGATATTCATCCTTTACGTGGCAGGTTGAATGTGGTAGGTGAGATGAGTGGTTTTCATATGAGTAGCAACTCAGGAGGATGTCAATTTCAGGCACAATACAAGCTTGATTCCTCCCTATTTCTTATGCAGAAATCCTTATAATACCTGCAAGAGTTTTAAACCTGTGTTAAAGGTGGGACCTAGCCCGATACATTTCCTTGAAAGATGAGTTGATTATATGTTGCATTTGAGTTATGCATTCACTCATCAAATATTTATTGTGAACCTACTATGTGTAAGGAATAAGAGCTGGCACAAGAGAAGAAACATCTTAAAACACTTTACCATGATACTTGGGGGGCTTATATTCCTTTAGGGAAAAAAGGCCATATTTTTTAAGCATGATTGAAATTCCTTTTAAGAATACTTGATATAGATAAGAGTTACCTAACCAATCAATTACACGACAAGTATGTATAGTGGATCCCACACTGTACAAGATATTGCTGGGGAGGTGGGGAAGATTTGAAAGAAATATTAGATATAGTTTCTCAGCTCAAGTAGCTTGCCTCAGTGATAAAAAACCTCCTATTCATGAAAGAATTGGAAAGTAAAAGAAGACAAAATATAATCTAGTAGTAATTGGGTGGTGTAGACCCTGTTAGAGAAATTCAGATTTAATGGACTGGGGTTAGCCAGAGGGGCTTTACGAAAGACATAGGACTTGAATATGGCCTTGAAGAAAGGGAAGGCTTTAAACTCTGATTATAGTTGGAATTTAATCCCCATATGGCAAATGTCAAATAGCTAAAGAGTAACCTCTTAATATTTGAAATAAAAAATGACCATCTAACAAATGAAACACATTGACCTCACTATATTTTTTGGCATGGAAAAATGTTCAAAATATATTAAGTGTGAAAAGCAGATTATAGAACAGCATTCTATACTATGATTCCATTATTAGAAAATAAAATATATGATATGCATAGAAAAAAGTCTAGAAGGATATATGCCAAAATATTAATAGCTGTTTTCCATATGTGGTAGGATTATGGGTGACTTGAATTAAAAATATTTTTTTCACTCTCTTTTTTCTAATTTTTCTGTAACCAATGTGTTTTATCTGTGTAATAGTTTAAAAAGACCACATTGGCTTCTTAAAACCCACCAAATGAATACTTTATAAAACCTGCTAAAGTAAAAGTGTTTCACACACACACACACACACACACACACACGCCCACCCCATCATGGAGAAGGAACAGAGAGTAATGATTAAATAATTAAGGAGATAGGGTGGACAATAAATATATGATAACAGATTTAAAGTTGACTGTCCTGCTTAGTGGCCTAAGATGGGAATATGATCCCAAGTCTACAAAATCATGAAGCTGATTGAGAGAACACAGATTTATTCACAAATCCCAAGCAACAGAATTGAGGATTGGCTCTTGAAGACTGAGGAGTAAATTTAGGACAGACAAAGTAAGGCCACATTCCCACAGAAGGCAAAAACAAAACAAAACAAAACAAAAAAACCCCCAAAACACAAAAAACCCCAAAAACCTAAAACTGGAATTTGTCATCCTAGGCGGAAAGGAAAAGCATTTCGAATTTTAATAACACTTTTGACTATACGAAGGCATATTACCTAGAAATTAGCCCTGACCATGCCTATCTCTTCCGGGATGGACTTCAGAGACAATGTGTGTCAGAGGCAATATTGAGATAGATGGACTACATTATGGCAACAGTCTTAGGATTTTGTGAAGTCAAATGAAATCTTTAGATGACCAAAGGATGTTTTTTTTTTACCTCGAGGGCTGTTCAGTGAAGCTTCTGATGCTCTCCCGCCATCTCCACAGTGACTCTGGTCAAAGGGAAGGCACTGATCACCTGTTCCTGCCACCACTTCAAAATTCTTGGACAGATCTTTTGTTTCCACAAGAGATTTCAACCTGTAGACTTTTCGAGTGTTGGTGTCTGATAGATAAAGTGATTCAGACACAGGGTCCATAGCCAGATAGTATTTGTGAGCAGGACTTGTGCTAAGGAAGAGAAAAGTAAAGTTATTCAAAGAAGTTTGTTCAATATGCATCCCCTGGGGTCTGCCTTTTGTCACAAATGGAAAGTTCTCTTAAGAGATGAAACAAAATAAATGTATCTTCTTTCTCATGTACTGAGGAGATGGTACTAGTTCGGTTTTCTAGTAAGGGGTCTGGGTATAAAAAAAACTCAGTGTGTACTGCTAACCTGAAATGAAGCTGACATTTCAATACCATCTGGGGGGCAGAGAAAGAAGCAGAAGAGAGAAGATCCTGGGAAATAATTTTTTTCATCAATACCTTTCATACCCGCTTCTCCAATTACCTACTAGATGCCTGCCTGGATGGCTCACAGTCACCTCAAACTCAAAAAATCCCCAACAGAAGTTCTTCTCTTCCTGCCTTCCCATCCTTCAGAACCCTATTTCTTCTCTTCCAGACTTCCTACCACACTGGGGGCCCTACCAGCCTCCAGGCTCCTGTTGTAAATTGAAAGACGTGTTGCGTATGGAGGGCTGTGCTGGAGATGCATTGTCAAACTTTTCCTCTCCAACCTTCCTTTTTTTAGCTGACCACCACACTTTTCTAATCCATTTTGTCTTCTTTCGGGACATAATAGAACTGATTATATATGACCTTTTTTGGGGGTTATAATCACAATCAACTGTACCTTTTAAAGGTGATGTTAAAGTTACCTTGATTGGATTTTGGTATTCCTGAAACTCTTCAATTACATATTCGCATGGGATCTCTTGTGATATTTTTATCTGTGTACATGGCTGAGCTCATTCATTCATTTTGATTCTTCTTAATTCCATTTTTACAATTGCTGGAGTAATATTGGTTTGGGGGATATTTTGCTTGATCCTAAGGTTGGATTCCCATCTTTAAAAACCCTAAAAACTTTTTAACATTCCTTGGTATGGTAGACAAGCCTCTTCACTTAGTAAATTCTCACATGCCTTTTAAAAGGCTTTACTCAGGCATCATCTCCTGAAGAAAGCCTTCCCTAAATCTCCAGTCTGGGTTATCTGCGCTGCATTTACCTCTGTTTTGGGGATTACATATCGTATTGATTTTTTTTTTTTTTAAATTTGTATCCCTCAATAGACCATGCGACCTTGGAGGAAAGCAACCTTGCTTATCTCTGGCTATGACTGTCAAGTGTGACAACAGAAGTAGAGGAGGAAAGATATGAGCAGAGAGGAGGTACATGTGACCTACCAGTAGCTGTCATATCGTATTAGCATTTTTTTTAAAGATAAACTGAAGTCCATACTTTATTCAGATTTCCTTAGTTTTTTGCCTAATGTCCTTTTCCTATTCCAGGAGTCCTTCTAGGATACCAAATTATATTTAGTCATCATGTCTCCTTAGGCTCCTCTGGGCTATGACAGTTTCTTAGACTTTCCTTGTTTCTGATGACCTTAACAGTTTTAAGGAGTATTGGTCAGGTATTTTGTAGGATGCCGTCTACTAGAATGTGTCTATTTTTTTTTTTCTCCCGGTTAGACAGGGGTTATAGGTTTTGGAAGGGAAGACCACAGGGGTAAAGTGCCATTATCATCAAATCAAATCAAGGGTACATAATAATCAACATGACTTATCACTATTGATGTTGACCTTGATCACCTGGCTGAGGTAGAGTTTGTCACGTTTTTCCAGTGTAAAGTTACTCTGTGAAGGCAACACTTGAGGAGTAGGGAGTTATAATCCACCTCCTTGAGGGTAGAGTGTCTACATAGACAATTTGGAAATCTTCTATATAAAAGCATTATCTCATCTCCTCCATTTATTTATGAATTCAGCCATTCATTTATAGCAGTAGGGACTCATGGATATTTGTTTTATTTTTTGTATTAAAACCCAATGCTACTTTATTTTGTTGCTCAAACCCTTTCGGCATTAGCCACCGGGAACTCTTCCGTTGGCTTGTGAGAACTTTTGACGTCCATCCACCAGTGTGGAGTTTTGTTTTTTGTTTTGTTTTAGCCCTTCTCTACTTTTTGGCACTACAAGATGCTCCAGGCTCATCTTTTATAGTCCCTGCCCTAGTACTGGAATGAATCATTTTGCTAAAGACCCCTGGTTCCTTATGTTGGAGAATGGTATTGGAAACCAAGATGTGAGTGCTGGGTGTAAGTACTATTTTTTTTTTACATCTCTCCAAGTACACTCTAAGCTCTTTGCAGGCAGGAACCATACTCATCTCCCTATCTTCAGTGCCAACAGAGTGTCTGACAGGGTCAATGTTCAGTCACTGCTGAACTAAACTATAGGACATGAAACTAACAAATACACAGAAGTGTTCAGGTCTTGGCTACCTAGCCCAGCAAAATGGCAGGGAGAGGGTCATCAGAATAATTAAGTTGCCCCTAAAGACTGGTATGTTTCTGATTGTATTTGTAATTATATTTGCCCTCTAAGTATATCTGTGTATGTTAATGATAGTAAAGGTTAGCAGATACTGATTTGAGACCCAGTTTATAGTTTTAACTGGAAAAAAATCAGATCCATTTGGAATACTTGATTTTTTTCTACTTACCGTCACTTCATCAAATAAGAGAATTCAGTAGATTCCAGGGACATCTTCAACCCTGGAACCACCATGACAGCTGCTGTAAATAAACTGTAAAGGGCCCCAACAGACTCCAGAATTGATTTGGCAGTCATATCAGACAAGGCATCTCTGTAGCAAAGACTGCTTAAATAGGGGTTTGAGTAAAAGTTTTTACATATTTAGTTGAATTTTTGCCTTCAGAATAAAATTTCTCCAGTGCCCTTAGATCTTTCTAGAATAAAAGGGGGTCACAACCCTTCCCTGAAACAACATTCAATATTTTGGTGCCAGTTGGTGGAAGTTTCAACTGAGCCAGATTAATCATGTGTTGTTTAGGAAAAGTCCATAGGCTATTTTTCCAAGAGAAATGTTATTCGCAGAAAAGCACTTTGGAATGCATTACATTCATTTATTATTGAATATCCCCAATGTCCCTGTGAGGGAAGTTAAAATTATCATTCTCCTCAAATCTCAGCTGGGGAAACCCAGACACATAGAGGGCTTGCCCAGGGTCACTAACAAGCCTATGCCCTAACCGAGACTAGATTAGATCATATGACTGTGTGTACAAAGTACCTTCCGAATACTTTAGTTCTGAAGGTGGCAAAAAAAAAAAAAAAAAAAAGAAAGAAAAAAAAAAGAATTGGTGTTCCTGCGCTGGCCTTTAGAAAATGGAATAGTCCAACACACAAAATTCAAATCTGATTAATGTTATTTTCTTGACAGCTAACAGTCAGGAAGGTCTCCTATATTGATATGTAATTTCTTGCCATTTCATGCCATTTCCCAAGTGCACTTCAGCTCTTTGGAGATTGGTTTCTTTCTACTTTTTAAAAACATGCCATATCCAAGAAAGAAAACCACTGGACTACATTTCAATTTGTTCTAATCCCTTGTGTCCACATGCATATTGCAATTTGAGATATGAGAAGATTTCTTTTATAACTTCAGTGTTAGACTTATTGTCACCTTCTGGTTAGCTTTACAGTCGAGCAATGCCCTTCAACTTAGCAAAGATCACTTCATTCATGCTAGTTAAAATCACATAGATTGTTAAATGGGCAATTAATGCTTATCATTAATACTGTGCAACACTTAACCAGTAAGCAATTTGACAACCAACTTAATTTGCTTAAGGAATCAGTTATGCCAAAGTAGCGAGGCTGATTTTGTGCACTGGCATTTAGGAAGTGGCATCTCCCAAACGAAATCCAAATTAAAAACCCTATCAGTGCCATTTTGATGACAATTGGCATTCGGAAGTGAACAAATTCAATTTTCTCCTTTGCAATTTCAGGTAATTTAGAACAGTTTTGACAAGTGTAATGCATAAACAAATTGAATAGAAATGCTCATTATGATTAATTTCAGGGCTCTGTGCCATTGTCGGTAAATGGTTGGTTTAAAGTTTTTCTATTATTTCTTTTTGGTGGGAAGAAATAGAAACCATGAGGTCACACAAAGGGAAAGAGGAAAAATCTTATTCAAGAAGGTCATCGTGGTCACTGTCTCTTAATACACTCATCAACTCTATTTCTGGATCTGGGAAGATTGTCGTATCACCTCTCTTTCTACTGCAGCTTGAAAACATTGAATCTATTTGAACTTACAGACTCATTTGTGATATCACCTAAGGAAAACATAATGAGACTTAAGGCTTTGCTTTCCCAGGAAGTACTGAACTGCCAGGTCTCACTTATTTTGTTTTCTTTTCAATATAGTCTGATCCTCCAGCAAATTCCCACTTAGTGGAGCTCTCTTCTTTTGTCAGACACTTACCTGAATCCTAACTTCTAAATGTGCTTTCACATCATTCCTTTCACCTTATTTAAAAAGTAAAATCTCCCTGTTAGCCCATTATTAGGAGGTTGCCTGTTAGGCAAGAAGGGGCATTAGGTAGCTGCCCATGTGGTTTGCTTACCTATGTCTGGTATCTCTGTTTCTAGGGTGCACAAGGTTATCCACGAGTGGCAAGTAAAAACAAATAGAGAGTCATCAGTATAATTCAACAAGCCAAATCCAACCAGACCCACCTAGTTCTAACTCTGTCTGTGGCTATTAGAGACTCCATAGGGAACATTTCATCAGACGTACAAGCCAAAGTGGACCAGATCCCTCCTGGCTTCTTTTCCTAAGATGGCGTCAGGGTGATTGAATATCCTGCCTGGTGGGTGGGCAGAGCTTGAAGGCAGTTTTTCTCTCTGGACCATCTTCATCAGAACCACCTGGGTTCCTGCCCCATGTGCAGTTTCCTGGGGTTCTCCCCACTCATACTGAATCAGAAGCTCGAGGTGGAAGAGGGGCCCGGGAATTTGATTTTTAACAAACTCAGCTGGTGATTCTGATACAGAATAAGGTTTAAGATCCACTGGGCGAGGCTTTGAAGAAGTAGCCACTGTAGAGGTTCTGACTATTCCAGACTCTGCTTTGAAAGCCACTTTACCAAAATGTAAAATCAAGCCTTGTGTGCAATGGACATCCCAAATCTAGCCCAAAGCCACTTATATGATCTCAGAGATAAGATAGAGACATCTTTTGTGTACAATAGCACATTACTTAGCAATATTAAAAAACTTAATGAAAAGTATGAAGGTTTTCTCTTAGACCAGGGCAGAATGTCCCTGGTATCAAAATTGCTGCATCAAAATAGCCTCAGTAAAACATCATGTACATCAACTACTAGGGCCTTGTGTCTTCCAATGATCTGTGCTCTAAAGGGGCAACTGGGATTGGCAAAACAGATCCATCAGGTCAGAAGAAGCAGAACACTTTGGGGGCCCTTCTTTGGTAAGCCTCTTGGCACAGGGTACTCTGGGACCTGGGATGAGGCTTCTCACATTGGGGACGTAGTCTGTGTACAGGCCTGACTTTGGGTCAAATCTGCCCAGAAGTAAAAGGCTATAATCATCTGTGAAATACAGGCATTTTAATTTGAAAATCCTTTTAAACCTGGTCCTTTATGTCATTTAAAAAAACATGAAGGTAACACATCTTTTTATCTAAACTAGAAAATGTTCTTATTCTTCAGAATGTCAGGGAAAAAGAGACGATACAAAATGATTTCATCTGAAGCTATCTGCTCCTACTGATTCAACTCGTTTTAAAGAAAATTCTTTCTGGGATTTTAGTAGTTGGGTCACAGGTCAGGATCCACTGACTTTTCTCATTCCCTGGCCCTCCTCAAAAGGGTAGGCATCCTGTGGGTTGACACAAAAGGTCATAAGGTAAGGCTGGGAGCTCTGATTAGAAACCTGGCCTTGGGCATTTGGACCTCTTTGAGTTTCTTTATCACTAGACACTTGCTTGTTTTTGTGGCCTCTAAATTAGCAGGTGAGTGTGCTCCAGGCTGACTCTAATCATTTCCCAAAGGAAGTTTAGTTGTGGAAGTACTAGAAGGACCTCATTAAAACATGGCTTCATCCACAACAGATCCTCATGGTACAGAACAATTTGTGTGGCTACAAAGGGTTTTGAAATGGTGACGGTAAAGGGTGGGGAGGAGAGTGGTTTGACTTTCTTGCAGCTGCTTCTGATCCTGCCAATAATGTCACTGTGAATTTGGAAAGATGTCCCATATTATGCAGAGCAGCTTCTCTCATTAACATCTCAGAAGGAGGAAGTGAAAATGATGGAATTTATTTCCAGTGTGTGACCTTGTTCTGTCTCAGAATTACTTTTAGTTAAGGATTTAGGATTGAGCCACCACCAAAGTCAGTTTGTTGTCTAGCTAGCAACTGACTACCCGCTGAGGCGCCAGTGTGAGCTCTTCACAAGTGCACGGGCCCATCAGTAGGCACTGCCACCTGGCAACCGACTGACTTGAAGCTGGCCACGATTCAGGAGGAGAAAGGAGCAGAACTGCAAATCGTTTTTGAGCAAGAAATGCTCCCCATGGTAGGGTCTTTAAGTCGATCATGGATTTTCTCAGGATCAAGATGATTAAAAGGGCCATCTATTCTTTTTTTAATTAAAAAAATTAATTGAGATATAATTCACATACCATAAAATTCACCCTTCCAAAAAGTACAATTCAGCAGTTTCTAGTACACTCAGAGAGTTGTGCCACCATCGCCATCATCCAATTCCAGAACACTTTCATCATCTCAGGAAGAAAGCCCATACCCATTAGCAGTCAGTCCCTATTCCCGACCTGCCCCAGGCCCAGGCAGTGACGAATCTGCTTTCTGTCTCTATGAATTTGCCTATTCTGGGTGGTTCATATAAATGGACTCATAGACTATGTGCCCTTTTGTGTCTGGCTTCTTTCACTTAGCATCATGTTCGACCCATTCCTTTTCTACTTTTGTGAGGTGGGGGATGGAGAAGGAGAGACTACGCCGACTATGGAGTTGCTGCCTGGTGACCTGGCCTCGTGAGGTAGCCTGGCCTGCTCTGTGGTGGCTGTAGCACTTTACTTGTTTCACATGCTGTTCTCAGCGTCTTTCCTTATGCTTAGCCAGAAACATTTGATGTCCCAAAGCGGGCTTCCCTCCCTACTCATCTTTCTGTGGCATTCTTCCTTCGAAGACTGAGTTCCCACTCCTGCCATTCGCTGACTTCTTAGAGCTTCTAACTCCAGCAACCGTCACCTAAGCCTATCCTCCCTCACACTCTGGCTCTGTTCCTTGCCCTTCTCGCTTCTACCTGTCTTGTGGTTTAGGGCCCTGCTTTCAGCTGGCAGGTTCCTTGGAAGACAATCCGACAAATGAATCCATGCCCAAGGACCAATGATGATTTTAGCTTGACGGATCATTCTAACAGAGGTTCCTGTGTCGGGGACTCTTAGAGATGCAGTGTCTCAACTCAAAGGAACGCAGTTCTTAGAGCGGGAATTTGGGCACTGTGGAAGGCCAGTGAAGATGTTTCTGGATCATGCGGAGGGAGCCGTTGAGTGCTACCACTAATATATGAGCTCACCCTGGCAAGGTCACCACCTATTTCATCTATATGGAGTGTTTCTCCATTTGTTGCTCCAGTGCTGCTGACAAAAGGATAGTTCTTGGTCATTTCTCAGGTATTTTCCGAGCTCTCAAAGTCCGGGCTCCGTTTGTTCCTTCAACAGAGAGCTGTACAATTTCCCCTGCCCTTCTGCATGCTAACTGCCCCTAAGTGGGTGCTATTCCAGTTCTACTCGATCCCTAGTCAGTGACAGGAGTCAAGTCCTGAGAACGATGGAGGAAATATTAACCAGTCACTGTAAAAGAAACAGTAGAATCTCAAGAGACATTTTTATGTCATATTGACATTCGTCAAGTCCAAATTACTCAAGGTACCAAGAAGCATTTGCCAGGCTCTTATTTTCATCTTTCTTTCATTTTAAGGGAAGGACAAAATAAAGATCTGGATAATATCAGCATCTTGAACAATCACAGCATGAGGTCTTTATAAAGAATAAGTCATTTCCAATCATGCTTAATAAGTTTTCTAATAGTTTTGTGAAATTAGAAGATGAGAGGGAAGCAAGGGGAATATTCAGATTTGAATTTTTGCAAAGCACTTGACATGGTGCCTCCTATTTTTACCTATAAAATTATTCCTGTTAGTTTCAGAAAACTGAACCATGGCCCTGAGGCCATAATTCAAGGAAAAAGAAATGAAGTCATCGTTGATGAGAAATAGTTGAAGGACTTGGGGATGTTGAGATTGAAGAAGAGGAAGCTCAGGAACCTATGATGTCTGTCTTCACACACATGGAAACGTGCCAGAGCCTAACATCTGCTGCTACTGAGTGGATTGTTTATGAAGGTAGATTTCATTTCAGTGTAGGCAACAATTTTCTAAGAGAGCACTCCAAAGATGCAATGGGCTGTCTAGAGGGGTATTTAAGTTTTCTGTTAACTGAAAAGGATCAAACAAAGTAGATGTGATCAAATGTCAGGCATGTAGTGAGCGCCATGTTGCACCAGCTACCTCCATGGACTTCTCTAACACTAAGCTCACAAATCTGTGATGTCACTTTTGTGTTACTGAAATTTGTGTGTGTATGAAATTTTAACATGAGAAGTAAATCCACAGGGATAACTAGACTTAAACTATCTCACATAGAAATGAATGTATCTTTATAAAATTCTTCAGAGAATGTATTTTTGAGATTCCCTTAGGTCTAATTACTTATGTAATGATCTTATAATCTTCCCTTCTTTATTATCTTACCTCAGTTTCCCACTGGAAGGAAGCACTAAGATGTGTATGTGTAGATGAAACCTGCAGTCAACGGGCAGAAGGGTACGCTATACTTTAAAGAACAAGAAATGATATTGTTGCTCTTGCCAAATTGCTAATGATAATGACAGAACTGACTTTTCCTTACCCTCCCCATTCAGCCAATGGTGGGGCCAGCTAGAGGAAATAAATGATTGGCAACCAATGAAAATGAAATTATTTCTGAGGTCAGATGAAAGAAATTCAATTAGGGACAGTTTGGATCAGCAGAGCCGAGGAAGGAAAAATCTATGTCTTCCAATCTTTGAAATGTCAAGGGAAACCTGTAATTTTTCAACGTGGCCCACTATGAAACAAGAGAATTGAAGAGAAGGAAATCTAGAAGGGCATCCAGTAGGAGCAAGCTTTATGCCAGAGCAAACAAAATGTCATCAAACTTTGGGCTGAGAACTATGCATCTGAGGATCTTAAAACAAGTTAAACTATATGAGACATGTAAGAAGATGCTCAAATATTAACTTAAAGTCAATTTTATAGATAGAGAAGTAGAGAACAGATGGTTAAGTTATATAATGAATAACCCTGACAGACGGTCAAGATCTGGAATGTTCTCTATCCCTTTCTGTAATAACCTATTGACAACATTGCTCTTCCATTCACAGCTTTAAATGCAACCAATAACATAATGACTATATTAGTCTGTGTTTCCAAGGAAATGGATGACTCAACCAAGTAAAATGACTAATACGCACTGGGAGGGAGGGAGGGTGGTGGCAGCAATGAAATCAATTGATTTTAACAAAAAAAAACTGGTACAAAACGAAGTTTCTATCTATATGCAATAGAATCCATTGAACATTATGGTTCTTAACATAGCAAAGACTTATTGTATCAACTTATTTCTCCCCAGGAAGTTTAAATCTGGAAGTTATAAAGCAAATATATAAATTTGCCAATCATATGCCAAAGATGCAATGTACACAGTATAGGTTACTGATCAAGCCAGACACTGTTTTTAGGTGAATCTAATAAGAACTATTATTAGTGTCTGAGTAAGTATGACAGATAATGTTTGCTGACATAAACTAGTTTGATGGTTTTGACTATAGGAAAATAGGGAGTTACCTATCAATTAGGTCAAAATGATCATGTAAACTCAATCAGTTTATTTCTCTGATGGCCAAGCAAAGGAGTGTTAGAGTAGACAAGGGAAAACTATTTTTTTCCTCCTTGAACCTAATGCAAGAGAGAACTATTTTTTTCTGTTTGAGACGAATCCAGGGAATCGTAACCATGAGTCTATGAAAGGGGTAGGTTCCTGGCAGGCGGGGACATGCAGGGAGAGAGGGGAAATATGGGACCCCTGAAAACACACGTACAATTTTGTGTGAACGTGTTTTTTTCTTTTTCTGGGGAGAGGGCCCACAGCCCTCCTTAGATTCAATCCCTCCTGAGAAATAAAAAAAAAAAAAAGTTAAGAAGAACCGCTCTAAAGGATGTGAGCTCAGAAGAGCTAGCTAGAGAGATTCAGGCTAAGTGAGAGAATCTGGGTGTGTGAGCTCAAGGCGTGCGCTTGCCTATGTGTTTGAAGAGCTGTGACAATGTGAGAGAACAGTACTGTGGAGTAAGACTGAAGAGAGGGATTGGACAATACTTCACACTGCCAGAAATGGATTTTTCTTTATACCAAGAAAATCACTTTGCAATTGGGGCCCAAGTTATGCTATTTTATTCTTCGAATGACTTTGTGTTGAAGGTCATAAGGTACTTTGGACCAAAATGCAAATTTGTGAACTGTTAAGGATCCCTGAGCAAAGGAGAATCTCATCAGTGAATGAAAATTGCTCCACCTTAGGTAAATTTGCATTTAAATCACAAAGGAAAGGACTAAACTTAGCTGGGTTTTCTTTATAGTAATATTATTAGTCTTAGTATTTGTTTTTCTAGCTAAACTTATGGGGTTTTCCTTTGGGGAGTTAGCTACAGAGGGCTAGCTATATAGGCTTTATAAGGTTAGCGAGGTCTCTGTCTACTTGATAGCTAATATCAGCATGGCTAGAAACATTCAGATGGTGAATGAATCGTGCAGTGCACCATCAATGTTTGGCATCGTGTAGATGGAGCATCCCTAGGATTTTGAAAACAATGTTGAATGTTGTATAAATCATTTCTAAATCTGGGCATACAACCATCTTGGCCTTCCTCATTGACTTTCCAGTAAGTAGGTGCCCAAAGAGATATACTGCTGGAAATGACAAGTCCCCATGAGGTGTGACACCCTAAGGTATATGAACATTTGATTAGGGCAGGGTGCTATGACTTAGTACTTCTCTAGACTCTCTAGATGTACTTTATCTTTATAAAATCTTAATGTTACAGTCTATTTTTTTTTATCAGTCAAGGGACTTAACAGCTTTCTTCTCTATGACAGTGTTTGTAATTATAAATAAGAAATGTATTAAAATTGGAATGAATTAATGTGAAAAATGGATGGGGGCTTGGGACTGGAAGATGTCCCCAACTAGGTGTGGAGGACTAACTCAGTCTGAGAAAAAGGAGTTAGATTCCAGAGCAAGCATGAGAATCTGAAAAATTTCAAGGAATGTCCTCATGTATTCAAATTTCCATGCTTGTGAGAACATAATATTAAATAGAAATGACCCAAGACTTCTCATATGTTTTGATTGGCCTTCACGGTGCTTTGTACATAGAAGTTGCTCCATCAATGTCTCTGTTCTCCCAGTCACTATATTTTTTTTTTTTTTTTGGTCACTATCTTTCAGGACAATGAGGTGATACCTGAGGCAACAACTGTTTTATGGACTAGTTTATAGGATGGCATCAAAATCTCTGGAACAGAGAGAAACTTTCAGCCTAAAGTTCCCAAGGTATGTGTCAGGGATGAAGCTGTCATAACCAACTGGAGGGAAGACTCTATCCACTTATTTACCCAGGAGAGAGGAGACAGGTCTGTCTATCCTCACTGGAATGGTAGGGGATGCTTCCCTTTCCTAGGACTCCAGAGGGCATATATTTGTATCCTGTAGCCTCAGAAAAGGAGAAATAAAGCTGATTAAGCCATAGTCTATTTAGTTGTAATCTTCGTGTAACTTCAGAACACGGAATACCAGAAGGTATGAATTCCTTTCAAAAGGTGTCAAAATACTTTGTACTCTCAAGAAAATTCCTAGAACAGAGTGAGAAAGTCTAACGATGAATGCTTTAATCTTTTTTTCCCCAATGGAATAGAGCTTTTAAGTGTAAAAAACAAAACAAAAAACCCCCCCAAAAAACAAGTTCTTCTTTCCTTATCAGGGCACACAAACACAGACTTCCATTTTCTTTTTTATGAAGTGACCACTTCAAAAGATTGAACCTGGGGAACTTAGAAAATGTAGCCTTTTGGATCTGGCATTACCTCTACCTGCTAGAATGAAATAGATATTTTTGATCATCTTCGTCATGAACAGCAGAGGTTGAATGACTTACCTGAGTACTTGGACGTACAGAGATCCATGTCAGTGATGGCAATGCCCACAAGGAAGGCCACACATACAGGGGTTTCAACACTTCCTGGGTCTCCAAAGGAGTGGGCATTTTGACCTATGTCCTTTGTCCCTATTCCTGCATCTCAGCTCAGGGCTACAGTATGGGCAACTGCACTTTCTGCTCTTTCTGGCAATGTCTTTCTCTTCGTGTTATTGCATTCTTGCTTTTTCCTTATCTGCTAAGCAAACAGAGATTAGGGAAGACTTACCTTAATTCCAAAATACTAACGGAGTTTCCCGAGGGAAATATTCGTCTTACAAAATTAAAGTCGCCAACATACACACTACCATCAGGGCCAGAAGCTAAGGCAACAGGAGCAAAGAGTTTGTTGTTGTGAGCTGGGCCATTGCAGTTGGTACAGGCTACGCTTCGTTGGTGTCCATTACCCATTATGGTTGATATGACTGGGGGCTGCTGGGAAATGAACATATTTTCTCCATTCCCTTTATGTATGATTCCTAGATTCAAGAAAAAAAAAAGAGAATTAAAAAAACAATTACCACACAATATTCTCAGCAACACTTTAATCTCTCTCTCATTGCTCAAAGTAGCATTGAGCTTTGGCCTGGCATCAAAGAACCCAAGAGTGAAGCACACCGCCCATAGTTTTGTTTAACCGCATAGCCACAATGAACAGTAGCATAACACCTGGCCTCAGTTTGTCTACGTGTGATATGGGTTAATACATCCAGGCCCTTTAGTGCCTGATTCTAAATGCCTCAATAAAGCGTTTGATGAATAACTTCTAATGAGCTCCTATTCACTTTGGGCTCTGTGAATCATCAGTGGCTAATTTTTCATCTCTGGCCTACTTTCTCCTGATGCCCAGCACACACTTGTCTGACTTCAAATTACCCTCACTATGCAACTGACTGGTTCCTGAAAAGGAAATATCAGTCAATTTTAATATTAACCTTAGCAAAACACCATCAGGAAGGTAATCTACTTCTGTGAAAAGAAAAAAAAAATCATACTGCTAGAATGTACTTCAAAGATATAAGAAAGGAACTTGAATTTTCCACTCTTTTGGACCATATCTCACTATTATCAGCGCAGGAAATAGAGATACTGACTTATGACAATGCTGGAAAATACTGTGCAATCATTCTCTTTGGGCAATCTCATCCATTCTCACAGTTTTAACTCATATCTCTATATGCTGAAACTTTCTCCTGTCCAGAGTTGGCACCTGCCCTGCAATTTCCTGCTCGATCGCTCCACTTGGATGCCTCACAGGCCCCTCAAATTCAACAGGTGTAAAAGGGAACTCATTATTTTTCTGCTCCCCCTACCAAACCCTGCTCTTCCTCCTGTGCTGCCTACTCATCTTAGCAGTGGTATCACCACGCGTGTATTCACCCAAGTTGGAAATGTGGGCATGACCATGGCTCTTCTTGTCCTCATTTGCTATGCCTAATTCATTATGAAACCCACTTGGAGTCTATCTCCTGAAATATGTTGAACCAGTTTTGTTACCTCCATTCCTATCACTACTGCTTTAGTTCAGTGTTTCTTCACGTCTTGGTCTCCCGGTCTCCACGCATACCTAGCTCCAGACCACCCCCCCCAACTCTTGCCATTGAGATTGTTTTAGTGTGTGGCTAGAATCTTTCAACAGCTCCATATCCTCTGTAGGATAAGGGGCACATTCCTTATTATTAGGGCATTCAAAGTCCTTCATGACTTGACCGTTGCCTACTCTCATCATCCTCTTATTTGTATCTTGAGTTCCAGCAATAGTGAACTATTTACAATTACTTTCACATTCTTCCATTCCATTCTGCTTTTTATATGCCCTTCCCTCTGTCCTGAAAGCCCTCCTCATCTTGTCTGCTTGGGGAACTCTTACCTATCCTTCAAAGCTCAGCTCAATTTTTCCCCAGCGCTCTGGTCCTGGCAGAATGACCACGGTTTGTTTTCCATAGCTCTGTTATAACACCGACTATGTTGTATGACACAGTTTTCATTACTTCTCTATCTTTCCCATTAGAACATGGGCTCCATGAAGGCAGACCCTCTGTCTTACTCTTTTCTGCATTTTAGTGCCAACCACTGTGGCCAAGTCATTGTAAGAGCTCAGTAAATGTTTAAAATAGGCTTTGAGTCTCTTGTAGTGTCCTTGTCCAAATCCCAGTGCAAACCTGCTGAACCCGGGCAGAAAATCCCAGAAACAAGGACTACTGTACCCCAGTCTGCTCACAATGAGCCTGGGCAGGTAAAACATCCATGTTGTGAGAAGACATGCCAACGTGTCAGACGGAAGTCACTGACAGCAAATGAATGAATATAGTAATCTTGTAGAGTTTTCTTTTTTCCCCATGACCCTTGCTATCTAACTCCTTGGATTGCCTGTTACTCTCCCTAAACATTTCCTGAAATGTCTTCCTCAGTTTTCTTTCAACTTTTGGTCCCATAGTCCTACATTAAGCACCACTGATCACTCTGAAATAGGAACATTGTTGGCAAAAATAAGTAAGAGGGTAAAACATGCACAATACTGTAACACCAAATATGTACTTGGAAGGGGCTTTCCAGGAAACAAATCCCATACATCATACAGCCTTCGGATTTCAAGTCTAGGTATTTTGACTCTCCCTCCCAAGGTGATTTCTGGCTATTTTTTCAACATATGATCTGCAGGAGCAGCTATGAGTTTATGCCCCAACAAATTGGTCTTTTATGGCAGAACTGTGAGATATCTCGAGGATCACTACTTTCTTATTAATTTTATTAATAACTTTATTAGGCAGTAAAAAAATTTGTAAGATTTTGAACAGTTAATTAAGATTAATAGAACTGAATTTCATCTTGCAAAAAACACTTAATTGCAGTGTGATCAACACTACAGTTTAAATGAATTGGGAGGAAGTGAATGAGAACTGGGATGACAGTCACACAACATCATCGAAAAGAAACCTCCTGATGATCACTAACTGAATATCCTACCAATGAGACTATGATATGTTCTCGAACAAATAAGGAAGCCAACTGTTTAGCATGTCTGTATTTCAGCAATGCATTATAGGGTATATCATTCAAAAATATGTCCAATTATTGGCTTGGAAATACCAGATTTGCTATTAACATCTATTTTCACAGGTAGATCTCCATCTTTTTTATATCAATATAACGGTATAGTTAACAATTACCTTCAAAATGACATGTTATTACCAGGCTCCTGGCAATTTAAAAACTAAAGATGGCTATTCTAAACCATTCTTCTAAGCCTGCAATTCTAAAACTCCCCTTTTCTATTAGAAAGCCCAGCACTCCATCAAAGAAGAAGAATGATTAAAGGAAATAAAACATAAGGCAATGTACTTTCTGATTACATCTCAACAATTGATGTCTTGCTTTCATGCAAGGTACTAAAGTGCCCGTGTACTGAAATTACCATTCCTGTTTAAAGCTGAAGCAATCAAAACAAAAATGGGCAAACCCCTTTTGTATTGCCCTGGAAAAATAGATCATTTTGAAGGGTGTTTTTGTTGTTTCAAGAATCTGTTTAACCTTCCATTACATAGAACTGGGGCATACCATCTAGCAACAATGATTTAACACCAATTCTTCTGCAAAAGGTTGCTTTGAAAATATTTTGTTTATGTTCCTGGAAATCTTGATCAATTATTGCTGCCTCCCTTCCAGTTTATTCTGCCACACATGCTCATTTTGAAAACAGAATCAAATGGTCCTAGGACAATGCACATTATTTATATGAAGGCCAACTTCCTGCTAAGGATTGGGTGTCTTGTTGACAGTCAACAAAGAAACCCCACCGAATGGGGCCTATTGCACATTTTCTCCCCTAAGTTTTCCTTTTCTCTGTCAAAAAGCCAGGTCTGTTGTATAATAAGTTAAGCATACTTTTAAACGCACTACTCATACCCTCTTGCTACCTTGCTCAGAACTTCTTTTGAAGCTTATAAATAAGTTTGAAACAAAAATTCCCCTCGGAAGCCAGTGGGTGGTGCTTTATGCTGATTTCAAAGAAGAAACCATTTTTCAGACTTATGAACAACGAGGGACACAATACATATTTCTCTTAGGACTTGACTGAGAGGATATAAACACAAACTGGGAGATATGCCAGTGTGATCAATGGAAATTTACTTCCCCTCCCAGTAAAACCATTTGTCGACAAACTACTGCCCTATTTTGGAGGCTAAGTTAAAAGAAATTCTTTATCCATTCAGACAGATGACGATTCCCAATTAGTACCCTGGATTGTTTTCTCTAATAATTTTTTAACACTCAACTGGAAGGATGCACTAGGAGATATGTTTGATACAAAATATACTATAACAAATAGCTTATCTCTCTGTAATAGATGATTCACGTACACATTTTTATTCCTCATAATTTTAAAGAACTGATTTATCTTAAAAGGTAAGGACATGTACTCTCTGTAATCACTAAGAAGATGTATTTTGAAGGAATAATATTGAAAAACACAAGTTCCTGGTGTTTTTTTTTTTCTCGGAAAGTAGAAACCATCTACATATATCAGGCATAATATTTGGAAACAATTCTCCACAACCAATGGTTAATTGTCAGGTAAATATAATTGCTGCAACTAAAATGACAAATGGTCTGAAAACACTGCCTTCTAGAAACTACCCACTGCATAATGATTTTGGAACCCAAGAAAAACTGAAGAAGTGAATGGCAGCAGACATCCAATCTAATTACAGGTATCTTTTTAACCAGTGAGAGGAAATTGGGGGAAGATAGATTCTTGTTTCTAATCTGCCATCTGTCTCAGATCAAAAAAGCAGGATGCCTAAAGAGTTAGGCTTTTTCCAGAAAGAAGCAGAGTGGGGGAATTTGGAAAGCCGGTCGCTCTTGCCTTAATCAGTCAGAAAAACTGTCTGACCTGAGGGGGAAAGAGCATTGCTTTCTAAATTGGTCTTCTCAAAGCTGCTCCTTCACGCTTATCATTCCTGCTTCTAAAACTGCCTTTGTGGGTGGGATTTAGACTTCGAAAACATCCCAAGAGAGGTGTTCGTGTCCAAGGTCAGGCTGAAAGGCAGTGGCAGAGCTGGCTTCAGATCTGTTTCCTGGCAAGTGTGACAAGTTCTTGGTTAGAAATACAACGTGCCTACAAATGAGATGATACAATGAACAAATGTTCTTTAAAAAAAAAAAAACTATCTAAAATAAGGTTTCTTTCTCAGAATAAAATTCTCAGAAAGAGACAGAGCAGATTTAGTGGGGCTTGGGGTGAGCACAAGGGATCTTTTTGGGGCGACAACAATATTCTAAAACTGTTGTGGTGCTGGGTGCACAACTGTACAATTTACTAAAAATCATTTAAGTGTACATTTAAAGTGGGTGAGTTGTATGGTGTATAAATCATACTTCAAAAAAGGTGTTAAAAAGATTCTCAGAAAGAACTCAGTACCTATTGCCTAAAAACTGATTACTGGCAAAGTAGGGCTGGAGAGAACACATCTGTGGAAATCAGGGGGGGGCCCCAAAGCCAACTTCCTCAATGGCTCCCCTCTGCTCTGAATTTCTAAGCCTGTGTGAAGCAAATGGTAAGAGGACATAGGGTTGGGAGCACACAGCTGGGGGCTGGTTCCATCGAGGTCATTTCCCACTTTGTGCTTAATGTCAATGACAGGCATTTGAAAGAGACAATCCATACAAGCCAATAAAAGTGAGTGGAAAAGAAACGGTTGCTTAAAATGTCAAACTCTTTCAAATCAAAACAAAAAACCTCATAATTTAATAAGTGGCATCTGCCCTTTCATTTTTGTACTTTTAAAACTGTGATTCTCCTTTTGACAACAGAAAAAAGTTGACATTTTATATCTGTGCCTGAATCTTTGCTCTTAAAAAAACAAACAATTTGAAATGGAATTTAGAATGTTCCTTGAAAGAGGGGAAGGAAGGATAATGAAGGCATATGGCAATGGACTCATTTACCTTTGGGGTCCCACCCTGGGACTGTGGTAGGTGGTGTCATGTCATGGTTGAAGCAAACCTGGTTAGCTTTGCCAATCAAAATTTCCCAGCCCATGTGGTTGGCTGACTCAGCTGACGATGAGTGCAATCAAAGTAAGATCATAGGTGTGATTATAAAATGGATCTCCCTTAGCCTTGGTTAGTTCATGGCCTTACAAGATAACCTGACCTTAGCCAGCTGTTTCATAAAGGTCAGATGCAGACAAAGAAGGCTGGATGGAAGAGTGTAACTGTCTCAAGACATTCGCATCCCCCAGTCCTGGAGAAATAACCCAAAGTCCATGTTCTACTAAAGGTTGCTCAGAATCTGCCTCTTTGGATGAAAAGGAATGTGATTTTGCAATGAAAACTTCCCAGTAGATGTTCAAATGAAAGCTGGATGGGAACACCAATGACCGACTCCCCAGTAGGATGCAAAACAAGGTGGAGGAACTTGGATGAAGCATTTCTAACCAGGGTAATGAGATCAGTTTGTCTGAGAGCCACATGGGCTCAAGGACCACCTGTGGTTCCCTCTCCTGATTTAGTTAATGTGTAAATTACAAACCAGGAGAAAGTGACAACAGGAAGGGTGGTTCGAAGAAGGCAAAGATTGAAGATGACCATGTCCTGATTCTCTGCCTTTTCCTCTTTTCCTAAGTCCAGGACTTAGGAGACTTAAAACTAAGTGAAGTCCAGGACTGCCTTCTTTCCCTAGATTCTTTCACTTCTTCTCCTGTCTTCCTCCTACCTCTTCTTTTTTACCTGTTACTGTTCCTTGATTCAGTTCCTAGCTTCTCACTGGATCTACTGACATTTATGTGGACAAATAACTGTGGTGGAGAGAAAGAGCACAGGGCTCTAGCCACTTATGAACTGTGCAACACTGGGGAAAGTCACATGACTTTGTAAACCTCCGATTCTTGATCTTTTAAATGAGATTAATGCCACACTGCAGGGTTGTTGTATTTCAAAGGGGACAGAGGTCACCAAAGCCTTTTGAAAACTGTAACACATGGATGATTCATCAATGCCAAGGTGCACATTTTGCTTCGTATTTTTAACATCTCTGAAATAAGTATGTATCTCGCAATCAATGCATGTTATAGTTTAATTGGCAGCATTCTCACTATACTGGCACTAATTTGAAATCAGATTGTTGTATTTGAAAAGAAATATACTAATATGGCCCTCTCTAGCTGGTGGACTTATAAGTAATTTTTTCCTTGTACTTTTCCAAGTTTTCTGCATCAAATATGTGTTGCATATGTGTAATACATATATATAGCACTATGTATGTATGTATATATATTATATTAAGAAAACAGTATTAATAAATATTTTAAAAGCTTCTTAAGTGCAAAGAAATGGGCACTCTTGACCATGAAATGGACTATTATTCTTGAGGGAAACTTGGCAGTATGTATGAAAAGCCTTAAAAACATATACATCTTTCTCTTTACATGAGATACCTAAGCTAGGCAAATTCATAGAGATAGAAAGTAGAATAGGAGCTGGGGGAGGAGGAATGGGGAGTTACTGTTTAATGGGTACAGATTTTCTCTTTGGGATGATGGAAACATTCTGGAAATAGACAATGGTGATGGTCACACAACATTGTGAATGTACTTAATGCCACTGAATTGTACACATAGAAATGGTCAAAGTTGTAAACTTTGTTATGCATCTTTTACCACAATTTAAAAAAATTCCACTGTGGGGCGTCTGGGTGGCTCAGTTGGTTAAGTGTCTGACTCTGGATTTCTGCCCAGGTCATGATCTTAAGGTCATGTGATCAAGCCCAAGGGTGGGCTCCATGCTCACCCCCTCTCTCTAAAATAAATAAACAGACATCTTTAAAACAATAAAAGGAAAAATTGTATATCCTTTGAAAATAAAATAAAATGAAAAGCTGCTTACCACTTTGAGGATTCAAAATATGATGCTTATTCAATGACCAGCCTCCTAGGTTAGAAGCATCCATCTCAAAGCCTTGTAAGATGACTGTCCTTTTCTCCCAGAGAATAAAGTCAGGGCATGTTTCATATTCATATCCCACAGATACTGCAAACAAAGAGTTAATAACACATTAGAGCATTTTAAAATGTTTCCTTCATTTTTACACTGGTTGATAATTCTGTGGATATTGCATTTGCTATCGAATTCTGATGTGGGCTGAAATTTGACTGCAAAGTGCCTTTCACCTCACACGGTAGAGTAGAGCACTGGCATCCAAAAGCGATCATCAGTCAGTGTGTGCGTATTGGATACGGACTCAGGTGAGTGAGTGCGTGCGTGCTGTCATTTGGTACATACCATACATTTATGGACATTAAGCTTTGGGCTTTGGGGTTGGAGGCTGTGCTGTAAAACTGAAGAAACAAGCTCTCTGAAGGCTTAAGCTATGCTGCTATAATATCTTTCTTTACTTTTCTAAGATAGGCGCAGGGAGGGCTGGTTTCTTCTCTCTCTAGAGGGCAAAATGCATTTAGGAAGCTGGTTTCAGAGTACTGGGTCACTTATACAACAACTGACTACACAGGAGACTAATACAAATCGATTTGCCCAATTTATGTTTTCTTTTGTGCTAACTGGCCGTTAGTTTGCCAAGAAGTCTGAGTTCGCTTAAAGCACGGCAAGTGTAAATTCCACCTTGTGCACATTAGATTTTGGTTTCTGCATAGAGCTAACCAAGGGGATATCACCCAACATTTGGCCTCAACTCTTATGAAGCACAGATGTTGTGCATTAAACTTGGCACCCTGGAATGCCACTAAAACGGAAGTGGGAAACCAGGTAGCATGGGTGCCTCTGCTCTCCTGAAATATGGCTAACTCAAGTACACCAAATTCCAGCCATTTTCTCAGTTGGTAAACCTGCTTACCTGTCGGAACCCCAGATTTCTGATTCTTGAATTTAAAATGCTTTCTGTCCTCATAATGTTCTAAGCCTGAGAGTATTGACTCATTACACTGCATACCCCGAAGCTGCTTTCCCCCTTTCTGGCAGCTTCAAATATCCCTAGCTAGTAGTTGGCCCTTGCTTTTCCAGTTTCTGTCTCCACCTGACTCTTTAGATGCCCCTGGAGAACTCATTCCTCCTTTTGTCATTTGGTTATGAAAACTGGTAATGAAAATGTGTGCTTAAACAATGCCAGAACAAGAGGTCCTAAGATGAAGAATTAAAGCAAACTAGTTTTGGGTTTTGGCATTGGGTGAAGGGAAATGATGGTAATTTTAGTCAAACTGATTTATATGTGCATGTGTGTGTGTGAGCATATGCACAGATAAGCCAAAAAGTCCTTATGATTATGAATATACAACTCTCTAGCATTGTGGATCATCTGTGGCCAATTTTAAATCATAGGTTGGCTTCTTTTTGTCCCGTGCTCTACCAAAGCTTTAATAGGGATCTTATAGGGCCATCTTCACTGGCTGTGTGACCTGTGCAGTCGTGCAGGGGCCCATGCTTTGAAGGGTCCCATACTTTGTTCAATGCTCTGCTGCCACTGCCTTGAAATCCTTAATAATTTTTTAACACAAGGTTCTGTATTTTCATTTAACACTGGGCCCTGCAGATTATGTAGCTGGTCCTGATGGGGATGCCCTTCTACGCTGCCATCAGCTGGCGAAGACTCATGGAATGCAAACTCATTTTATTCTTAGCCCTAACCAAGCATTATTAGCAAGGGAGATCAATGGGGAGCGGGAAAGACTAATCATAAAATGGAAATAATTTCTAAATGGAAATTAGCTCTGGATCATCCTGTGTCAATGCTATTCTGTATTAAGGTGGATAGAAACAGAGAATTTCAGTGAAGGAAAAGGATCTCAAAGGTATTCTAGGTTGGGTTACAGTCATAGCACAAATCATTGCTGTCAACAATCTCCTGGATATCTTATCATGGCCCCCAGTGTTTGCTAAACAACTCTGGTAGAGTGGAAAGAGTTGGTTTTAGAGCTAGAGTCACAAAACACTTCAACTTTTGGGTCCACCATTAACTAGCTGTTTGGTGTCAGGCGAATTATTCTGCATCTCTGAGAATCATGTTCTTCTCTGGTAAGAAAGCCAGGGCAGGGGAGGATGGACTAGAATTGATGATTTTTAGACCCTCTTGGGTCAGGGAAACTTTTATTATGAATTTGATAATCAAAGTTAAGAATCTTCTTCCTAGATTTCTTCCTAGAAAGATGCAGATGAGGGGCGCCTGGGTGGCTCAGGTCATGATCCCAGGGTCCTGGGATCGAGCCCGAGCCCCAAGTCAGGCTTCCCTGCTCAGTGGGGAGTCTGCTTCTCCTGCTCCAACTCCCTCTGCCCCTCCCCTGCTCGTGCTCTCTCTCTCCCTCTCTCTCAAATAAATAGATAAAATCTTAAAAAAAAAAGAGAGAAAAATGCAGACACACACAAAATTTTATATACAATTCTAAGGGGTTCACTGACCTCCTGAAATCCAAATAGAGATCTCAGATCAAAGACTTTTGCACTAGATAATTTTCATAGCGCCCCTTGAGCTCTAACACTCTGTGATTCCAAAGTGCATTCTTTCAAGATTGTGTTTGATCGATTCTAGTTGGGGATTAAACCCAAAAGCCGAAGAGAGGACGGGATCTCATGTTGGCAAAATCAGGTGGTGAGAAAGCATACTTAGGGCCATGTTGGTATGTTGAATAACACGGTTTCTGCTTCTCTTGCCAACATTTAAAAGTCTTGATTAATAAATAATCGCAGCGACAATTACAAGTTCCCTGAAAGCCATCATCTCTTTCCCTACCATTGTCAGGATCTGCTTTTTGTACATTGTAAGCCTGGTGAGCTCCCCTAGAATCCTTTCTCCGGAAGGTGATGATGCAGTTTTGCAAATAAGTAGTGTGCCCTGGTGACCTCCAGTGGTGGTTTGGAGCCGGATTTTTCCCTCTCAGTAACAGTTAAAGATCCTCCTAACTCTGTGGCAGGAAATGCTTATATAAAGTATCAATTAAAGAGTTCTCACTGCAATGGTAATGAGACATACTCTTTTCACCTCATATCTGCTCTCTCAGTTGCTCTCTAGTCCACAACAAAAAAGTGCCTTGGCTGTAAACCCCACAATGATATTACTTTTTTCCCCTAGTCATGGCAAATAGCAACAAGGCAGCCACTTAATAAGTTCCCTCTAATTTTTATTAGGTTTACTTTCTTGGGAGAAAGCTCTATGAGCTAATAAATTTATAATTTATACTTAAGACTTGTCCAAAATTTCAACTAGCTTTAATGAGAATGGCTGTGTGTTGGGGTATTTTTGCATGTGGCTTCTTGCTCAGAGCAACAAGGCAAGGTTTCTTTCTGACAGCAGCCCACTTTAGCATAATCCTAGAATTTGCAGTCGGTTTAGGAGAAGGCAGACGTTTCACCCCACAGAGCTGAGCTACTCTCCAAATGCACAGGAAACTGGCCAATACAGAAGCTACCAATCCTAGACTTCTCTCCTGGAGGCGGACTGTAATGAGCTAAATGCCTGCTCTTTTTCATACGATTAAATATAGGGGGGAGAGGGGCTATTCAGGGGCTGGCAATGAAAATGCTGAGCCCTGACATTACACTCTGCCTGGTACTGTGACAGCTGAGTCTCAGCTATGAGCAGAATGGACCACCACCATTTCCCAGGGCGGCCTGTTGCCTATCACATCTGATCATCAACATAGCATGGTGCAGGCCACAGAATCAGCATTGGCGCTCTGGAGTAGGGATGAGGAAGAAGAGTGTAATAGGAAGGAAAAAAACCATTATTCAACAACATTTCAGAGGAGCTGCAGAAGACACACTGGTCTGGCAATGGGCTGAGATAGGTGGGGAAGGGGGGGTCCCGGACTATACTTCCCAGGAACTGGTATAGTGGTTCCATGCTGGAACGTATATATTGGGAAGGCAGGTGAGAAAAGATCCATTAATATAGCAGAATGCGTTTTCTAAACGATGTGACTGCCTCCCTCGTGACACCCTTAATTCTGTCTGGATTTCTGTCTTCCTGTGTTTTCTCCTTCACCTCTACACAGAGGTGTTAATGGGATGTTTCTTCACCAAGAGTCATTGATGGTCAAGATAGGACTGTTACATTTGCAGAGGGCTCTGTCCTCTGGTCACAGGATCGTACCTTTGACTTGACTGTTAGTCATCTTGCAAATACTGACACTGGCTTATGAAGGAGACTTTATTATACTGCTTTATAAAGAAAGAGAGCAGCTTGCTCTCCCAAAGTCATTGGACATTGGGCAAAAGAACTGAATGCTCATTCTACTTCTCCAAGCAGCAGCATTTGTATAATGTGGGGACTACAAGAAGGCTGAGGGCCACGGTGCCCCTGACATCCAATTCAGTGACTGTGACATTCATCTATAAGGGCTGGTATAGGAGACTGACAATAAATAGCCAAGGTAAAGATGTTATGCAAGGAAGCTAATGTGCAAAATATGACAAGATTAAGCAGATGATTTTCAACAGCCTCAGGCTAAGGCTTCAGAAACCATAATGGTTGCATTTATGAAGGCAATACATAAGTAAAAGTAGTCTGATAGTGTGAGAAACTGACATGTTACTTCATGAACTCAAGGAACATGTAAAAATAATTTCATGACATTTAAAAGGTAACTAACAACAAGATAAAAACTTTCTTATCCAAAAAGAATCATTAAATAGAACAACAAACATTTCCCATTATTTTAAAATAGATTAATGGAAAACAACAACAGTAACGACCAAAGACAAGAGACCGAAGGAACCAAATGAAGACCATGGCGACAGTAGACCAAGACTATATAGATACAGTGCTATCTACTAAGAACAGGTATGTGCTCTTAGAACTCCTACTCTTTCCTATTCTCTGGTGATTTATCATAGGATAGGATGACCCCAGAGGTTCCTCAGTTTGACACATTGCCCAGTGGCCTGAAATGTTTTGTTGATTTATCTATTATTCCTGGCTCACCAGGAGTGTCAGAATCAGGTGATGAATTTTTATCAAGTGCCTCTTCAGCACTTATGGAAATATTCACATAGTTTTCTTTTTTAATCTATTAAGGTGGTGAATT